GACTCTCCTTGTCTTTTGGATGGAAATGAGGCCTGAGAGATGGCTCGAAGGGCTGGAGCTCAGACTTTGCATGCAGGAACCCCCGTCTCCATCCTCAGCATCCAAGGGTCCCCGAAGCACAGTCAGAAGCATGGAGACTGGAGAAACCCTCCAGCTCTATAGGGCTGTGAAACTCAAAATAGGTCTGATCCCCTTAACAGCGCTAGGATCATCCAGACTGATTACCCCAAAGTATGTTTATCTGTTGCACATGCCAAAGCAGAGCCAGCTATCAGCTGTGTATCTTGAGTTGGCTAACAAATAGTGAAGATGTTTTCCATGCTGCACACAATCGCATAGACTGAGGTCAGAATAAAACAGTGTGAGAGGGAATAAATCAGGGTTAGAGGACCAGATTCCTGCACCAGCTTGCTATGTCGCAGTTTCTTTTTTTTTGAGGGTCACACCTGGCGATGCTCAGAGTTTACTCCTGGCTCTGCTCTCAGGAATTAGCCCTGGCAATGCTCAGGTGACCATATGGGATGTGGGGAATCGAACCTGGGTTGGCTGCATGCAAGGCAAATGTCCTACCTGCTGTGCTATCACTCCAGCCCCCCATGTCGCAGTTTTAAAATTCTTGATTTCATATTTTGCTGCTGCAACTCTTTGATGTGGAGGCTGTTCCTGTAAGCATGAGATGGGGAGCTTGGCTGTTCCTGCACTCATCTGCCAAGATACCTTAAAACCCTATGACCATTTGGGCCCGAGTAATAGTACAGCAGGATGGGCACTTGCCTTGCACATCGCTGACATGGGTTTGGGATATGGCACTACGTATAGTCACCTTTTTTTTCTTTTTGGGTCACACCTGATGATGCACAGGGGTTACTCCTGCCTCTGCGCTCAGGAATTAATCCTGGTGGTGTTACGGCGACCATATGGGATGCTGCAAATCGAACCCAGGTTGGCGTGTGCAAGACAAATGCCCTACCCACTTTGTTATCGCTCCAGCCCTTACATATAGTCCCTTGAGCCCCACAAAGAGTGATTCCTGAGCACAGAAGCAGGAGTTAGCTCTGAGCACTGTTGGAAAAGGCCCAGCCCCTGCAATTAAAAGAAAAAAAGGGTAGAACTAAAATATTTCTTATCTCTAATCCTACCCTCTGATTTTGTTTGTTTTAATTTTTGTTTCGGAGAGCCCGGCAAGCTACCGAGAGTATTCGATATGCCAGACACAGTAACAACAAAGTCTCCAATGGAGACGTTACTGGGCCCGCTCGAGCAAATCGACGATCAACGGGAGGGCCTTTACCTTTACCTTTTTTAATTTTTGTTTGATTTGAGGCCACATTTGGCCATGCTCAGGGCTAACTCCTGCCTCTGTGCTCAGGAATCACTCCTGGTGGGCTTGGGGGACTATATGTGGTGCTGGCGATTAAACCCGGGTTAGTCATATGCAAGTGCAGGAACCTTGCCTGCTGTACTTTTTGTCTGACCTGACACTCTGATTTTAGAGGAAAGGAAGCCCACAGAGGCTTCAGATTTGCCTAAAGACACCCAGTAGTGACCTCAGGAATAAAAGTCTAGTCACTCATCCAACTCTCTTATCCTCCCGGGCCAGTGACTCAGAGCTCCTGACTCAGGTCTGGCCTAGTTTGGCTGTACCTCAGTTGCTAGTTTTGCCTTGTTTAATATCGGCCAGAATCTCTCCTTCCTTTAGGAGCTAAATGGGCTGGGCTCTAGGTTTCCTAGGGCAAGTCAGGACGTATTAGAAAACCTCCCAGGCCCTCCCCACCCCCTTCCAGTTCTGATTCAGCGTAGCATAGAGGAAATGCTCTCTTTTACCTAAGCACACAGACACACAGACTTTGCAGAGGCGACTCTGGGAAAGCAGTCCCTGCCCTTACCAAGGAAGTGTGTTGACACAAACTCTTAGAGTGAATCACCAAGGGCACAGCCTGCGGCTTCTGCACTCCATTCAGCCCAGCCTGGGGCTCCCCAGAAGACATGGGTGAAGACCAGGGAAGAGAGAAATCTTGGTATTTGAACTGTGAGGTCTAAACACCAGGATCTTTGGGGTACCTGTCCATGAAGGAGACCAGGGGTGACCCAGTGGAGTTCAGAAAGTTCCCCAGGAAAACACAGAATCAGCGCCAGAAGCCTAGCAGGGAAATGACTCCTCCATGGCCACTATGGAGGAGCCAGGAGGAAGCCTGGACTGCACTGCCCAGTTTGGAGTCTCCTGGGGGCCTGTGGCCACAATGTCCTCGGCCATGCTCTTGCTCTGCCCAAGAAGACAGGAACTTAGCTCTCATCTCTGCAGGGGCCCCGAGGCGTGACAGGCAGATGACATCTCTACCCTTTCTCCTCCATAGCCAGTCGGGCAAGGCAGCCCTGTGTCTGTTCTGCACTCTCTGCCCTGTCCCAGCCCTTCTTCACCCCACCAGATAGCTGGGCTTTCCTGCCACCTATGGTCCCCCTGACTGCGATGGAAAAAAGGGCCCTCTAAAGGAGGCCCGGGGATTCATACCCCTCTGAAGCCGTTCTGAAGCAGCGCACGTGACTCGGGAGTGACTGGGTTACAGGTCGCCAACCTGGCCTCTCCTACAAACCCACCCAGTCCTTATCAGGGAGTAGGCTCTGGTTCTGGAACTAGGAAGCCTTGGCCAGAGAGGGCAGGAGGGGACGCCACCCGAGGGGAGGGGAAATGGACAGCAGTGTCTCCTGTTTCCTGGTACTTGGGCAGGCAAGGTGGGTGAAGGGCAGGATGGGGAGGGGACAGAAGGCCTTTTTCAGGGATCCATCAATGGGCCAGTCCTGACCCTTACCCGTGGGTGGTAAGTCAGAACTGAATGTCCAGTGGGCAGCCTGAACTTATGTCCAAGACAGCAGCCAAGAGACACCAAAAGAATGAGAAAAAGAAATTTTAAGAATTTGACATTTTCTATTTCCATAAAAGCACTCAAATATTATAATGAGCAAGGTCCAGACTTAAGGACTTCCTTGTTTTATATTTAATACACACAGATTTTTTTAAAATACATTTAAAAAAAACACACACAGGAAAAGGCCCCTCAATACCAATGAGGTTGAATGCTCAGAATTTCTATCAGGTCATAGGGGGCAGGAAGACCACTCAGGGATGCATACCTGGCATATCAATTCCCTAGGTTCTGTTTCTGGCACTGATTTGCCCCCCCACCCCCTCCAAAAGTTCCAGGTGTAGCTCTGGAGACCCCTCAGTATCAGCAGGTATGGTTCTGGGGACCCCAGCACCCGTGGGCCTGCACAGCACATCACTGGGCCCTAGCACTGAACCGACCAGTTCAAGTTGATCAAGTATTACGGGGAGTATCCTCCAGGGGCCCTGGTTACTACTTGGGAGACCTGCCACCCCGCCCCTCAAAAGTTTAACTTTGTGCAGGCTAACCCAGCCTATAGATGGTTGCAGTCCTAAAGTCTGTTTCTGATTTTCCCAGGAAGGTAAATCAATTAGAGGCATGATTAAGCAGCAACTATGTATTTGACCAAGGGGCTCCACATGCATTGCTTGAATTAATCCTTGGGAAAATCTTGCTGGAGTTACTCTCAATCTCATGATATAGGTAGAGAGACAGGATTGATGAGATGAATTTACCCCTGGCCACCCAGTAGCCAAGATTGTGAAACAGATTCTTGATTTCAAGCCCGGTGGCTATTCCATAATACCACAATATTTTGAGTAGGAAATATTCTTCCAGATTAAACCACTTGAATTTCTTTAATCCATGCTGCATCCCGAAATGAACTACAAATTGCGAAGGGAAAAATGAAAGCCACGGTACTGAAGTACTAATAAATTCATGCAGAGAAACAATAACACATAAATAGTTTTATGTCCACCTAATTCTTACCCCTGTGTTTCCTTGCTATCAAATCAACCCCAATCACAGCTGCTGCCTCCAGGAGAAACTTTGGAGGTGAAGGTAAACAGGATCTAAGTGAGTACAGCGGGTGGGGCACTTGCTTGGTGTGTGGCCGTGACCCAGGTTGATTCCTGCACCACATATGGTCCCCTGAGCACTGCCAGGAGTGATCCCTGAGTGCAGAGCCAGGAATAAGCCCTGTCATCGTCCAGGGTGGCCCCAAAACATAAAGCAATAAAGAAAATAGATACTATTTTGCAAAGCTTTGCAAGTGTTCAGCCTCCTGGATTTCTGTACAGTTTGGTTTTTAGTTCTTGTTGTTGTTTGTCTTTCTGGTCACACCCGGTGATACTCAGGGGTCATGCCAGGCTCTGCACTCAGGAATTACTCCTGGCGGTGCTCAGAGGACCATATAGATGCTGAGGATCAAACCTGGGTCAGCTACATGCAAGGCAAACAGCCTCCTTACTGTACTACTTCTCTGGTCCTACAATTGTCTTTTTGGAGGATGGCAGTTAGGACCTTGGGCCACAGGTGGTGGTGCTCAGTTACTCTTTTTTTTTTTTTAACTTTTTGGGTCACACCCGGCGATGCACAGGGGTTACTCCTGGCTTTGCACTCAGGAATTACTCCTGGCAGTGCTCAGAAGGACAATATGGGATGCTGGGAACTAAACCGGGTTGGCCGCGTGCAAGGTAAATGCCCTACCCATTGTACTATTGCTCCAGCCCCTAGTTAGTCTTTATCTCATAATGCAGGTAAAGAGAAAGATTGATGAGATGAAGTAATTTTCCCCTGGTCACCCAGAACTCTTCCTGGCTCTGTGGCCGAGTGAAGGAACTCCCTAACAGGGTTCATAGTCATGATATCTTTCGAGCAGGGACTGTGTAATCAGTTAAGAAAGTAGGATGCAAAGGTTTGGGAATAGTGAGAGACTTGCTTGGGACCATCTAGGATTCAGGGGTAGCAGGGTCCTGTGTCTTGATCCCAGGACTTTCCCCTATAAGACAAAGGGGAGACGGGGATGTGGTATGTGCCATGGACTCTTGGAGACCCCAGGAGGACAGAGGGTGCCCAACCATGGGCAAAGCTGACATTCTCTCCCCTTTCCCCCAGGTATTCCTGGAGAAATACGGATATCTCCGCGCACGCGCCTCTCATGCTCCCACCTTCACACAATTCAGCAACGCTGTCAGGTAAGAGAGGACTCAGGGATACTGGAATTCAGTCCTTGGGGGCCCCTTCCTCCTCTTGAAAGGCTCTGTCCCATTATTCCCTTTCCTCTCCTGCACGCCCTGCCTTCACCCCATCACCCTTCCTCCTCTGCTGATCCGTCGTCTCGATTCCTCCTAACAGGGAGTTCCAGTGGGTGAACCAGCTGCCCGTCAGCGGTGTGCTGGACCCTGCCACTCTGCGCCAGATGACACTGCCCCGCTGTGGTGTGGCAGACGCTGATAGCCAGGGGTCCTGGGCGGAGCGGGTCAGCGTCCTGTTTGCTGGACGTCGGGCCAAAATGAGACGGAAGAAACGCTTTGCAAAGCAAGGTAAGCGCTGCTAGAACCCCGGGAGGCTGAGGGTCGGGTGTGTGTGTCTGGGGGTGGCGGTAGTGGCTCAAGTGGAAGAGTGTAGGCCTGGAATGTGCCAGCTCTGGGGTTTGTTTCTGGACCCCGGAGCATATTTGCTCAGCAGCAGCACATCACAACAGTTAAAAAATTCAGCTAGGCTGAAATTTTCTGACATCCTAAAGCCCCATGACAAGGGAAAAAAAAAACCCAGCTCTGTCTATGACTGGACTGCGTGTGTGTGTCGTATGTTTTTTTTGGGGGGGGGGGCATCTACGAAACAAATGTGTTGGGGGGGCACCAGGACTATATCCTGCAGTGAGCAGGAGACCACATGATGCTGGGGATGGAAGTGGGACCTTCTGCATGCCCAGCATGAGGTCCAGCCTTTTGAACACTCTCCTCAGTCCTACAAAGAGACATGATCAAGCTTTTTTTTTTCTTTTTGGATCACACTCGGTGATGCTCAGGGATTTCACCACTCAGGAATTATTCCTAGTGGTGCTTGGGGAACTATATGGAATGCCAGGGACCAAACCCAGGTTGACTGCATGCAAAGCAAACACAATACCCGCTGTACTATCACTCTGGCCCCATGATCAATAAGCTCTTGCCCAGGGCAGGCGGGGGAGGGAGGTGGACACTAAGCCTCTTTGACCTAAGTTCCATGTAATGAACATGGACTTTTTTTTTAATTGTAGTTTTGGTAACAGTGGCTTCAATAGTGTTCATTTTCATGGTTTTAATGTACAAATTACTGCATCTTCACCACCACCAAAGTGCCCATCACCCTCCATTTATCCTTTCTAAATAATCTTGTCCCATCTTCCCTGCCTCCTCTCCCCAATGCTTGGGAATCTCAGCTCTTCAAAGTTTGATCATTGTTCAATACTGTCTAGTCCCTTGTTTTGTCTCTGAATACTACAGATGAGTACGATCACTTAGTACTTGCCCTTCTCCCTCTGGTTATTTCACTAAATACAATGCCCTCTAGTTCCATCCATTCAGACTGTAAGATATTTCATCTTTTCTTATGGCTGCATCCTATTTATTATGTCTCTATGCCACAATTTCTTCATTCATTCATCTATGGTTGGATATTTGGGTTGATTCCATCTCCTGGCTATTGTACTTAGTGCTGCAGTGAACACAGGCATGCATATATCTTTTCAAATGAATGTTTTTGGAGCACAGACCTTTAAATCAGAATTATGCCTACATAGATGACTCACTGCACAAGAATTTCCCAGGGCAACCCCCCTCCAGCACAGTAAATTCCTTCCTCAGTTTTTGATGCAGGGCAGTTAAACTGTGCCCTCGGGTTCCCTTTATAGTTAACTGTAACTGTTTTCATCAGAATTGATTCCTTTTCGTAAGAATTATTGAACAAAGCTGTGATTGATTCAACCATCAGTTTTTTTTCCAAAGCACATTTTTAGCTGCTTTTTAAACTATAATTCACACACAGTACCATTGGCTCATTGGGAGTGTACAGTTCAGTGGTTCTCTATCTATTTACACAATTGTGCAATAATGACCACAGTCTAATTTCAGAATATTATCATTATATCAGAAAGAAACCACATTCCCCTTAGGTGGTCACTCTCTAGACCTTCCTGCCCCCAGCCTCTGACAACCACTAATCTATTTTCTGTCTCTGTGGATTTGCTTCTGAAAATTTCATCATAGAACATTTAAAAATATTAATTATTTTTTGGTTTGGGGGGCCACACTTAGCAGAGTTCAGAGCTTACTCTTTTTTTGTGGGGTGGGCACACCAGATGTTGCTCAGGGCTTACTCCTGGCTCTGCATTCAGAAATCACTCCTGGTGGGGCTCACCATATGGGATGCTGAGGATTGACCCCAGGTTGGCCATGTGTAAGCAACTGCCCTACCTATTGTACTATCACTCTGGCCCTAAGGGCTTACTCTTGTCTCTGTGCTCAAGGATCACTTCTGGTGGTGGGGGGGTGGGGGAGACTATATGTGGTGCTGGGGATTTGAACCAGGGTCGATGTATGCAAGGCAAGTCCACTATCTGCTGTGCTACTGCTCTGGCCCCCTCTAACCAGTTTTCACACTCTTAGGGATCAGGGATGGGGCTCAGTGATAAGAGGACAGTCTTTGTGTAAGGCCCTGGTTCCATCCTTAGCACCACACACAACCTCTCCTCAAAATTTACAATGACCAAGATTTCTTTTGGGGGGTGGGGAGAAGCGGGGGATATACCAGATGATGCTCAGAGTTACTCTTGGCTCTGCTCAGGGAACCATATGCGATGTGAGAGATTGAACCCAGGTTGGCTGCATGCAAGACAAACATCCCTTATCCGCTCGACTCTCTCTCCAGCCGCTCAGTAATCAAGGTTTTTATTCAGTCTGGCTTTCATCCATAATTAATTGATTGTGAGCACTTTGAGCCCTTGCCTCTTTCATCAGCATTTACTGCTTTTACCAACCACATCCGTTACGGGACTGGAGGCTCAGAGTTTGTTTTTATTTCTTAGCTGATCCATAAGGAAATTGTGGGCGGGGACCCTCAGCTGTTAGAGGCTGATGCTTGCCAAAACAATTTACTGTGTCAACACAACCGCACTGCGGTTCCCTGCACTGACTGCTGCTGGAAAAGCAGGGAGCCGGACTCGGAAAGCTGCCCATGCATGCTGTCACTGTATGCGGGGTCCTGCCGTGTACCTGATGGAACAGATGGTCCCTTTCTGCTGTCACGGGCTGGGAATCTTGCAACTTCTGGAAGTCACTTTGCTCTGTCTTCTTTTCTGTTATGTGGGTCCTTGCAGGTTGTCTTGGGGCACTGTGTCATGTCCTCAGGCCCCAAGTGAGGAGCTGAGGGAGTCCCTTGGCGACTTTCCTGTTTGGAGCATCCCCTTGGGGAAGGAGACAGCTCCGCATCACTCAGGATGGCCCTGCTCTCCAGCTGAGGCCGTTCCATTGTGTGACCAGGTTAGACGGAGCATTTCCCTCTTGCTCACACGAACCCTAGCAGCTTCACTTCCTTTCCTGAAGAAGGTCCCTACAGAGGAGCCATGGACTTGGCGGGGCGGTATCACTTCCTGTGCCCTAGGAAACACATGTCACAATAACAGTAAACATTTGGGGGGGGGGGGGGCTGCAGTGGAGAGATAGTACAAGGCTTAAGGTGCTTGCCTTGCATGTGGCTGACCCTCATTTGATCCCAGATAATGCATGCTCCCCTAAGCACTGCTAGGAGTGACCCTTAAGCCCAGAGCTAGAAGGAGGCCCTGAGCACCAGCCCAGTTCTAAATGCACTTTTCTTATTTATGCCCATGGTCAGCCTTGTTTACTCTCATTGTGTTATCTCTCCTGCCCATTAGCCTCATTTTGAAGATGGGCAAACTGAGGCACTGAACCCACTTGCCCAGGACCATCAAACTGGAGGGTGGTTAGGTCCCCTCTTCAGAGTGAAGTGAGATAAGTGAGGGAGTGTGAAACTCCGCAGAATTTGAGTAGATGCTCCCCAGTGGTGTGGGGTCCCAGCCAGTGCGTACCCCTCTCTCCCCCCACTTCGTGAGTGATGCTTTGTCCAAGAGGCCAGGTCCCGGGACAAGGTGACTTGGTGAAATAGCAGCACTTAAATTTGAATTTCAAATGATCACTAAAAACTTGCTTTACTTTCTCCTAGGGCTGGAGCGATAGCACAGCGGTAGGGCGTTCGCCTTACAAGTGGCCAACATGGCTGACCCGAGTTCGATTCCTCCGCCCCTCTCGGAGAGCCCGGCAAGCTACCGAGAGTATTCGATATGCCAAACACAGTAACAACAAAGTCTCCAATGGAGACGTTACTGGGCCCGCTCGAGAAAATCAACAATCAACGGGAGGGCCTTTTACTTTCTCCTAGGTATACTAAAAGAAAGATTGGCTGCTTGTCTAAAAATGAATGTTTTACTGGGCATTCTGTAACCTCCTGAAACCAGGGAGCTTCCCTCTGTGCCTGCAGAGCAGGTGTCCAGTCCCCGGCTCAGCTAGCGGGGAGCACTGGTGGGTGTGTGTCAGGGCTAGAGAGGGGAATAACCTCTCCTCCCTGCTCTTCCCTGTGGAGGCTAGCTTGCAGCCTGGCATTCCTGACCACAGTGCCCATACCTGTTTTGGCTACAATGCTCACCTGTGTGCCAGAGATGGCACTGTCGCGCGCGCGCGCGCGCGCGCGTGTGTGTGTGTGTGTGGTGTGTGTGTGTGTGTGATGTATCCCGGAGAGCAGAGTGAGTGGGGCCATGCATACGGGTGACACTGGGGCTCAAACTCAGGGCATCCCCCTTTCCAGGCAGGCACTTTTGCTACTGAGCCATCCCATGGCCCAGGAATAGATGTTTGTTTATTTATTTATTTTGGTTTTGGGGTCACACTCAACAGTGCTCAGGGCTTACTTCCAGCTCTGTGCTCAGATAGCACTCATGGCCTTGCTCAGGAGACCACGTGTGGTGCTGAGGATCAAATTCAGGTCAACTATGCGCAAGGCCAGCTCCCTACCCACTGTATTATCACTCTGGCCCCAGGAATAGATGTTTAATGAGCATCTACTACATGCCAGGCAGCTTAACTTACATTTTTATTTGTTATTTCATTTCAACCCCACTTTGCAAAGGAGACTGGGGCTTGGAGAAATGCCATGCTCTGTTATGTAAGTTCTAAGTAGAGTTCTGGGATTCTAACCACAGAGTGTCCCTGCCTGTTGAGAGGTGGGGCTCCAGGGCTCCCTGCCCCATCTCCTCTTCCTTATTCCTTTCTGAATCAGAGAGAGAAAGAGAGAGAGAGAGAGAGAGAGAGAGAGAGAGAGAGAGAGAGAGAGAGAGAGAGCTGTTGTGTCCAGGTGCTGTTGTTGGGGTGTTGAAGAAGGCACCGTGTCCTGTCACCCAGCCAGGAGTTTGGGCTGGAGCCAGACTGCCCCGGGGACACCCTGTGGAATAAAACAGTGAAGGACTCAAGCTGGCTGGGCGCTTCCTTCCTGGCAGGCAGCACACCGACAGCCCCACTCCAGAGGAAACTGCTATTTTCTCTCAATTCTTTATTCTTTGTTTTGCTTTTTGGCCACACCCAGCTGCTCTCAGGGCTTGCTCTTGCCTCTGCACTCAGCTATCACTCCTGGCATGGCCTGGGGCATCTTATAGGGTGCCAGGCTGCGTGCAAAGCAAGTGCCCTGCCCGATATACTGTTGCTTCAGCACCTTTTCTCTCGATTCTTGTTGATATTTGTCTTCCCTCTCCTCCTTGCAAATGCATGTGCAGGAATACTCTCTCTCTCTCTCTCTCTCTCTCTCTCTCACACACACACACACACACACACACACACACACACACACACATTTCACAGAGGACTTTGATTCTTGGCATTATCACCATCGCTAATCACCTAAAGCAGAGGTTCCTAAATTTATCTGATTTATTGTCCCCTCTTCAGAAAAAAAAAAATCACCGAGTACCCCCCTGAAAATTTTTATTTTTCATTTCTCCCCATTCCCTCTACTCATGTCCGGGATCAAACCCAGGGCCTTGCACATGCAAGGCAAGTGCTCAACCACCAAGTCTAACAATCCCCAGCTCCAGAAATCTACATTCTTTTTTTGGGGGGGGGGGCGGGTGGTTTGGCTTTTTCAGTCACCCCCAGCAATTCTCAGGGGTCACTCCTAGTTCTGCACTCAGGAATTACTCCTGGTGGTGCTCAGGGGACCACATGGGATGCTGGGGCTCGAACCCTGGTTAGCAGTGTGCAAGGCAAACGCCCTCCCCACTGTACTATTGTTTCAGTCCTGAAATTTCCATTCTTTGGTGAGGGGTAGGAGGCCTTCCAAGTGGTGTTCAGGAGGTCTGGGGACCCCATCAGTGATTCTTGGCCAACCAGGCCAGTGATTTAGTACAAGAGCTCTAGGGTGTAACGCTGTTTGGGTCCTGTGGTGTTGGGGACAATGAGCCACCCAGGGCTATGCCCTGCAATGCTCGGGGCACATATGCAGGGACTAGAATCACTGTTCTCTCTCCTGGGCCCTTTTCATTTGTTTTTCTTGTTTGTGGGGCCATACATAGCTGTGTTCAGGGTTTACTCCTGGCTCTGTGCTCAGGGATCAATCCTAGTGGGTTGGGTGACCATATGGGATGCTGGGGATAGATTTTGGGTGAGCAGCATGCAAGGCAAATGCCCTCCTTGCTGTACTCTCTCTCTAGCTGACCGGTCCCTCTTTAAACAAACAGGAAACACTCCCGAATACCCTTACCCCCAATCCTTCTAGTGCCCTCTGGAGGGGTGGGAGGGACTTTGGGAAAGATGCCTTAGGAAAAAAAAAGGGGGGGGGTTTGGTCACCCTCCTCCTTTCCAGCAGCGGACTAGCAGACAAAACAGTCCCTACTTTTCTAAAAGCTTGAGGTTGGGATGAGAGTCTGGGAGCCTGGGTACCCTTCAGGATGTGAAGAAGCCCACTGGCCAGCGAGCACGAAGGCCCTGAGAAGTGTTGGCACACAGGGAACCTGGGTAGGGGGTTGTCTCCGGATCCCAGGCCTTCCCTCTGCCTTCCCTGGATCACACTTTCTCAGAACCTCCCTCTGCCTTCCCCGAGGGCTGGCCACTGGCGGGGTTGGGTGGCTGCCAGGCCAAACAGGGCCTAGGAGCTGCCTAGATGGAACTTGGCTCAGTGGGGGCAGGGACACCCCTCCCCTGTGGCCCGGCGGCTGGAAGGAAAAGGGCGCCCAAAGCCTTCTTCCATCTGGAGGAATTCAAGTCCTGCCACGGTTCTGACCAGCATGGACCATGCTGGGGCCAAGAGACAGGCCTGGGGCCTCAGCACATGCGCCTGCTCTGCCTAGGGTCTGGGCAGGATTGGACCCGAGTCTCAATCTCCCCTAAACAGCAGAGAAGCAGAAGAGGCGACCCTGCACAGCCTCCCTCCTGCCTCTCAATGGTGGCCTTCCTCAGGCTGGAGCATCCCTGGCTTCCTACCCCTACCACCCCCTCCCTCTGCCTAAAGCCCAAAAGACAACCAGATTCGGGACTGGAGCAATAGCACAGCGGGTAGGGCGTCTGCCTTGCACGCGGTTGACCCGGGTTTGATTCCCAGCATCCCATATGGTCCCCTGAGCATGGCCAGGGACAATTCCTGAGTGCAGAATCAGGAGTAACCCCTGTGCACTGTGCATTGCTGGGTGTGACTCAAAAAGGGAAAAAAACAAACAAACAGATTCTTGGGCCTCTTGGGGCGGGGGGGGGGGGGGGGGCGGGGGGGGCGGGGGGGGGGCGGCGTTCTGCTCTTCTCTGCGATTCACAGGCTCAGTCCCTGAGCTTGCAAGACACAGAGCCAGCCCACACAGGAAAACGGGTTTCTGGGCAGGCCAAGCACCCCGGTCCCAGGGCATGTGGAGGGGTAGATGGGCCCGGACTCAGTGGCTGGGGGTGTAGCATTCTAGAGGGGGCTACTATGGTGTGGGCCAGAGGGAGAGAATCGAAGCTAAGCAGAGATGGAAAAATGTCCCTGAGCCAGCAGGGAACACACCCTTTGTTCTCATTTGTTTTCACCTCAGAGCTGGCCAGAGTCCCTGAGGAAGTGAGGGGGAGGGCCCGGGGTCAGGGAAAGACCTCAAATAAATGGGTCTTATGGCCACTTGGCAGCCACAGGATGAAGCTTCAGAAGGGGCAGAAGGAGGTGGAAGGTGTGGAGGAGGCGGGGAAGAGCAAGCAGGTTACAGAGCTGCACCCCTCTCCTCCCCCTTCCCCTTACACCCCTTCCCAGGGCTGGACTTGCAGCCAGCAGGAGGCTCGGGGCAGGTTTCAAGCCCAGCCTGTGGGGAGTATGAGATTCTGGCCAGAGGGTCCTTCAGATTAGGGGGAGGGGGCGGGGGGTGCTTTTCCTGGGCAGAGGCTGATTCTGTCCCAATACACCAGGCCCTTCCTGGGCCAGTGCACCAAAGCCTGGGGGGTTCTAAGGCAGAGGTCAACGTGCCAGTTTGAGAGCATCACCTCTCCGGCCAAAGGGGTGATTCACTGGACCAGGGCTATGAGATCAGGGGCTCCCTGGAGGAGAGCATATCTCCGCATCCTGGGGGAAATCAGGGTCCCCAGCACCACCCTCACCCACACAGCCTCTCTGGGTGACAGGCAGCAAGTGGTACAAGCAGCACCTGTCCTACCGCCTGGTCAACTGGCCGCAGCACCTGCCCGAGCAGGCCGTCCGGGGCGCCGTGCGCACCGCCTTCCAGCTGTGGAGCAACGTCTCGGCGCTGGAGTTCTGGGAGGCCCCAGTCACAGGCCCGGCCGACATTCGTCTCACCTTTTTCCAAGGGGACCACAACGATGGATTGAGCAATGCCTTTGATGGCCCAGGTGATGGCCTGGGGTCTCGGTCCTGGGGCAGGAGGGGACCCTACTCAGAGTGGTGGTTGGGGGGCTGACACTGTCTGTCCACGCTGCCTTGGCCACGGGGCATGCCTCTGCACAGAACCCTCAGTCCCCTCATCTGGAGAGTGAGTAGCATGGCCCCAGTCCTGCTCTGCCATGGGGGAAAGGAACAGTCAGATGAGGTTCTGCATGGAGGCACTGTGCCAACCCTTGCTGAGGCCCGCCACTCCTACACCCCTGACTCTAGACAGATCTGTGTCCCTCTCGATCTCCAGCTCATAGACCAAGCAAGGCCCACTCCACTCCACAGTCACAGGTAAGAACAATCCGGCCTCAAAATACCTCACGTCCCCATAGCCCCAGATGGAGCCGTGGGCCCCAACCTGCCACTTTCCCATCAGAGCCGCTCTCCTTTCCCTGCCCTGCCCTGAGGCTTTCTGTGCCCCTCTGCCCCCAGGAGAGGAGCTTGGATAGGTCAGGAGCCCTGTGGGGCCTGGCTGCTCACACCCTCCCTTCCCTGCCTCTCCCACTCTCCATCATGCCACACCATACTACTCCAGCCCCTGCAGCCAGGACCAGGGAAGACTGGGAGAAATTGAGGCTTTTCCTGGGCACACTTGGAATACACACAGGGGCTTGTCCATCCCTTCCATTATCCAGGATCTCACATGCCCCATGTCTGTCTACTCCAGAAGGATCTTGGGAGTGAAGACAGTGCTGGGCTGTGAGTCAGCATGTCAGGCTCCCCCAGGCAGCTCTCTGATTTGGGACCGGAGCCTTGGCTTTTTTGAGTTTAGGTCTCCTCCCTCTGGCTGTATCCCAGGGTTATTGTCAGAGCTAAAGATGCTCAAAACAGCTCAAGGTGGGGAGGGGGGGGCTGGAGAGAAAGTACAATGGGTAGGGCACTTGCCTAACACATGACTGACCCAAATTTGATCCCTGGCACGCCATATGGTCCCCTGATTCCTACCCGATGTGATCCCTGAGTGCAGAGCCAGGAGTAAGCCCTGAGCACCACTGGGTGTGACTAAGAGAAAACATGTAGGGCAGATTCAAAACAGGCATGTGCTCCTCCTAACAGGCCCAGTGCCCGGCCCCGTGAGGCTCCTCTGTCATGGCAGCTCCGAGGCTGGGATCCAGGGAGACCGGGAGGGAAGGACCCTCAGCAAGCGTGCGGGCAGCATTCTCACTGTGCAGTCTGCTCGCCCTTACCCCGCCAGGAGTGAACTGGGATGAGTGACACCCATCACCGGGTCCATCTGGTCCTCTTCTTACTGACAGTGGGGTACTCTTGAGAGCCCAGGAGCCCCGCATGCGATCACCCACTCTGTTCATGCCTATCCCAGGGAGGGACTGACCAGAGCAGGGGCCATGCAGGGGAAGGCGAGAAACGCAACGGTATGCTTTCTCCCTCACTGTACTTGCACAGGAACACACCCAGAATCTGCAGCTAGAAACAGAAGATGACCCACATTCTAGAAGGTTCCTCAGGGGCATCCACTGTGCTGCGCCTAGATCTTTATTTAATGACCCACATTCTAGAAGGTTCCTCGGGGGCATCCACTGTGCTGCGCCTAGATCGTTATTTAATTTTAGTTTTGGCTTTTTGGGTCACACCTGGCAGTGCTCAGGGTTCACTCCTGGCTCTGCACTCAGGAATCATTCCTGGCGGTGATTGAGAGACTAGGTGGGAGGCCAAAGATTGAACCCAGGTCAGCCATGTTCAAACTCCCATGCAAATGCCCTATCCACTGTACTATCACCCCGGCCCTTTGTTTATTTTTTTAAATTTGGGCCATACCCAGAAGTGCCCAGGACACCAAGTAGTGCTGGGAATCCACTCAGATTAGCAGCATGAAAGGCCAGCACCTTAACCCTTATACTGTCTATCTCTCTTATTTCTCCTGGTTTTTTGAAAACACCATCCCTGTGTGGCATATGTAATATTAATGTGTGAGTCAGATCATATAGATAGCTAAGACAAGTCATATGCATATCTGCACTTTTGTCTTTTTTTTTTGCTACACACAGGACAATGTGTGGATAATATATAAATGTATGTATATTTATATATGTATACACACACACATATATACATGGTTTTTGTCTGGGTTTTTTGGGGGAGGGCACACAGGACAGTGCTCAGGACTTACTCCTGGTTCTGTGCTCAGGGATCACTCCCAGCGGGATTGGGGGGACCATATGCAGAGCAAGGGAGATGGGACCATGGTTGGTAGGCTGTGTGCAAGGCAAGCGCCTTACTTACTCTTACTCGTCTACTATGTCCGGTCCCAAATACACTTTTTTTTTCTTTTTGGGTCACACCCGGCAATGCTCAAGGATTACTCCTGGTTCTGGCTCTGCACTCAGGAATTACTCCTGGCGATGCTCAGGGGACCATATGGGGTGCTGGGAATTGAACCCGGGTTGGCCACGTGCAGGGCAAACGCCCTACCCATTGTGCTACCACTCCAGCCCCCCAAATACACACTTTTTAATCCTCAGAAGCACCTGGAAGGAAGCACCTCCTTCTTACCCCGTTGCCAGCTCTAGAGGTTACTAATGCACAGGCCCAGAATCTCCCAATAGCTAGTAAACCGGTTCCTCAGGGTCGTGTCCCAGGCGGCTTGAGCCCGTGCATGCCTCATCTATGCACAGCTCCACGCTCGAGCTACTGGCGGGAGACACACAGGCACACACACACCTTTCTGGCCCGGGTTGGGGGCGGCTGGTGGGGGTGCGCGGCGGGCCGGGGCCTCACCTGACGCTCTGCGCTGCCTGCAGGGGGCGCCCTGGCGCACGCCTTCCTGCCCCGCCGGGGCGAAGCGCACTTCGACGGCGCCGAGCGCTGGAGCCTGGGCCGCCGGCGCGGGCGCAACCTGTTCGTGGTGCTGGCGCACGAGATCGGCCACACTCTCGGCCTGGCGCACTCGCCCGCGCCGCGCGCGCTCATGGCACCCTACTACAAGAAGCTGGGCCGCGACGCGCTGCTCAGCTGGGACGACGTGCTGGCCGTGCAGAGCCTGTATGGTGAGCACCACCCCCCTCCCCCGCCCCCAGCCCCTGGCTGCCCCAGGAGCAGGGACCTGACCCACAGGTGTCCAGGTCGCTGAGCCTTCCCTACCCGCAAATCTCAGATGGTCCGGAGTGAAACACCGCGGGCTTCCTCTTTCTTCTTTTTCACTTGTTGGGTCACGCTCAGGAATTACTCCTGGCGTTGCTGGCGGGACCATGTGGGATGCCGGGGATTGAACCCGGGTCAGCCGCATGCAAGGCAAACGCCCTACCTGTTCTGGCGTATCCCTCCTCCACTCCTCATCATTCTAGCTTCTATGGATCCCCGTGAGACAAGCGCTCCGCCCTCCTTGGCGTTCTAATTCCAGACTCCTGCCCCAGCCGGGAGACGTTTCATCTCTCAAACCTGCCTCAGCCCCTAAACCCCTCTTCTAGCCCATGTCTTTCCCCAGATCTTGAGGCCCCCAGATCTTTTTGCTCCCTCTCCCCGCCTGGCTCTGATCACTCTTCTCCTCCGCTTCAGACAATGATCTTCACTTTCCCCAAACCCAGACAGTCCCCAAGTGTGATCTCCCCCAGAATAAAACAGCCAGGGCTGTTGTCCAGGGACTTGACTAGACCCTAGGCCCTCCCCAAATCCACTATCTCCTTCAGATTGCATGGGGGAGGGGGGGCATGGTGGATGCCAGTGCCCTGGGTTCAAGTCCCTGGTTCAGGGACCAGAGGAATAGTACAGCGGGTAGGGTGTTTGTCTTGCATGCTGCTGACCTGGGTTTGATCCCTGGCACTCCACGTGGTCCCCCAAGCGGGCCAGGAGTTGATCCCTGAGTGCAGAGCCAGGAGTAAGCTCTGAGCATCACTGGGTGTGCCCCCCCAAACCAAAAACACCCTCTCCTAACCAGGGCGCATTCTTGCTCTCTCTTCTGCCCCTGAAGGGAAGCCCCAGGGGGGCTCTATGGCCATCCAGCTCCCAGGAAAGCTGTTCACTGACTTCGAGACCTGGGATACCCACACTCCTCGAGACAGCCGCCCCGAAACTCGTGGACCAAAATATTGCTACTTGCCTTTTGATGCCATCACTGTAGGTAAGTTGGCACCACCCATGCCTGGCTTTCTTCTCTTCTCCCCCACAGACCCAGGCCTTTGGTGCCCAGAGCTGGAGGACAAGGTGGATGGTACAGTGGTGGAGATCAGGGGTGGGGGTGGGGATGAATTAGAAAATCAGGGCTCTGTGTTTTTGTGGGGGAGGGGATGCGGTGGGGGGAATGCCAAGCCATCCTCCGAGGGGTAACAAGCCCACAGTAAGCCAGATGCTGCCTCTGGCACACGTCCCTTCTGCCCGCTCCAGATAATCTGTCCTTGCCAGTTTGAGAAGTGGAGTATCTAGGAAGGTGAGGAGGCTGACTCTTGTCTCTGGACAGATGGGCAAGCACGGCTGTACATCTTCAAAGGGAGCCACTTCTGGGAGGTGGCGGCTGATGGCAATGTCTCGGAGCCCCGGCCAATCCAGGAGAGGTGGGCTGGGCTGCCCCCCAACATCGAGGCTGCTGCAGTGTCTCTGGAGGACGGAGACTTCTACTTCTTCAAAGGTAACATCCCTGGGGCAGAGAAATGGAGACATGTCCCCAAAGAGGGGGTAGGACACCGGGAGTGGAGGCCCAGTCAGTGCTGGACTCTACCACTCAGTAGCAAATGGTCCTTTCACAGGCTCCTGCCTGGTCAGACTGGGTATGTCTCTGCTTTCGCAGCTAGAATGTCATGAGTGGGGAACTGTCCCTCTGGTTTGCTTGGGAAGATCCGTGATCTGAGAAGCATGCAGTAGGTGACTTAATTTTTGGTGGGGGCGTAGCGCACTTGGCTCTGTGCTCTGGATCATTCCTGGGGGTGACTGGGAAACCATGCCTGGTACCAGGATTCAAACCAGGGTTGCGTGACAGTCATAGGCTAAGCAAGTATCTTAACTTTTGTGCTATTTCTCCAGCCTGTGGTATTTGACTTCAGTGAATAGTACCCATTATAGGGCCAGAGCAATAGTGCAGAGGGTCGGGTGTTTGCCTTGCACGTATCTGACTCAGGTTTGATCCCCAGCTCCCCATATGTTTTCTTGAGCACCACCAGGAGTGATCCCTGAGCACAGAGCCAGGAGTAAGCTCTCAGCAAAGTGGGAGTGCCCCATAAACCTGTCACTGTCCTCCTGTTGTTCATCAATTTGCTCTAGCAGGCCCAGTAACATCTCCATCGTGAGACTTGTTGTTACTGTGTTTGGCATATTGAATATGTCACGGGTAGCTTGCTTGCTGGGCTCTCTGAGAGGGGCCGAGGAATTGAACCCGGCTCAGCCAGGCTGGCTGTGCGCAAGGCAAATGCCCTGCCACTGTGCTATTGCTCCAGCCTGGAGAGATAGTACAGCGGGTAGGGCATTTGCCTTGCATGCGGCCGACCCGGGTTCGATTCCCAGCATCCCATATGGTCCCCTGAGCACCGCCAGGAGTAACTCCTGAGTGCAGAGCCAGGAGTAACCCCTGTGCATCGCCAGGTGTGACCCAAAAAGCAATATATATATATACACACATATTTATATATATACATATATATATTGAGAGGGACCAGAGAGATAGTACAGCAAGGAAGGGTGTTTGCCTTGCCTGGGATCAACCTCCAGCACCCTGTATGGTCCCCTGAGCACTGCCAGATGTGATCCCTGAGTACAGAGCCAGGAGTATGATCTGAGCACTGCTAGGTGTGCCCCTACTCCCACCCCCCAAAAAATTAGAAGAAAAAGAGAAGAAAGATCGAGAGCCTACTCCTGGCTTAATGCTAGTAAGGGCCTATTGGTGTCTGGATCCCCAGTGCTCTCGCCCTCTGTGGGCACCTTTTGGCTGCCTAGTCCAGAGCAGCACCCCCTACTGGCCGTGACTAATTACTCGTGTGCTCCATCTGGGTTATCACCAGTACTGATCACTCGGGCTCCCAACAGGAGAGTGGCAGAGATGGAGGGTGAAGGGTGTAAAAGTAAGAGTACCTGGCTCACCCTGGTTTTCCCAATGTCCCGCAGGCAGTCGCTGCTGGAGGTTCCGGGGCCCCAAGTCAGTGTGGGGCTCCCCGCAACTGTGCCGGGCAGGGGGCCTGCCCCGCCACCCTGACGCCGCCCTCTTCTTCCCTCCGCTGAGCCGCCTCGTACTCTTCAAAGGTGCCCGCTACTATGTACTGGCCCCAGGGGGGCTTCAGGTGGAGCCCTACTATCCCCGAGGCCTGCAGGACTGGGGCGGCATCCCAGAGGAGGTCAGCGGTGCCCTGCCGAGACCCAACGGCTCCATCATCTTCTTTCGAGATGACTACTACTGGCGCCTGGACCAGGCCCAGCTGCAGGTGACAGCCTCGGGCCGCTGGGCCTCGGAGCTGCCCTGGATGGGCTGCTGGCATGCCAACTCGGGCCGCGCCCTGTTCTGAAGGCACCCTACGGCTGCGTAAACTGCGTCCCCAGGCCCAGGGGCAGAATCCCAGCAGTCGAGCCAGCCTGGAAGATTGTCCTTGAAGCAAGTGACCTCTGGAGAAGCTGTGGTTTCTGGGATGTCCCCAAAGCAGGACAGCTGGGAGGGGTCTAAGGGGGAGCATAACCAGGTGTGGGACTCAAGGGATCCTGGCCCCCGGGACTACTTTCCTTCCCCAGCTTCCTGGATTGTGTCTCTTCCACCAAAGATGCACTTCCTGTCTAAAGGACAGCATCACTTGGCACTCAGGAGGACCCCCCAATGCTATGGAGAGATTGGGGCCCCCTGTGCATGACTGAATTAAGTGTCTTATTTAATTGGAGGTCTCCCCCCGGACTACTGGAAGTTTGAATGAGTGGTTACGAGGGTCTGTAACCTCCAAGGCTCTGAAGTGGGAGTCAGACCTTGGTGTAGGAGGGCAACGGATACAGACCTGCAGGGACCCAGCATTTCAGGGGGCTCAAATAAAGAGTTAGCCTTTGCGGAATCAGCCTGGAGAGGGAGACACGGCCCTCCTTGAATGTACTCCCGGTAAAAGCAGGTGGACACAGATCTAGGGGCCCAGATCATATTTTCCCATCTTAGCCAGGACCAGCAGGCTTTGTGCACGTACATGTGCCCACATGTTATTATGGGGAAAAGAACCTGTTCCCCAAGAAGGAAAACATCCTTGCCTCCCCCAGCCCCCCAGACCAGATGGAGTGGAGGACCCGTGTGGTAGGGACCTGGGGCTTTGCACAGCAGTGGGTTGGAGGTGCAGGGGCTGGAATCTATACGTTGGTGAGGTGGGACCTGTGCTCACGGTGGCCCCCATCTCCCGGCAGCATTGTGGGAGCCCCTGCATGCTGGCCAGAGGTGCTGGAATTTCTGGAGAAGGAACTGGCTCCCCAACTGTCTTCTGCTTCGGGTGGTCTCAGCTTGTAGAACCCTGTGCACGCCCCCCTTCCAATACCTGCTGTGTCTGTCCAGCACGCAGAGCTCATCAAGGAGGGCTTGGGGTGGGGAATGTCTGCCCTTAGCCCACACCCCTCTCCCCGCCCCATTGCTCTACTCCTGGTCCCGGGAAGGAGGCAGCAGTGGCCGAGCCTTCCCGGAGCGCCTTGCACGCACCTCCTGGAACTGCCGCTCGGCTCAGAGACTTTATTGGACTGTCTTCGGGCGGGGACGTGTGCGTGCAAGTTCCTCAGAGGCGATGTCTCTGTCCACCGGATCAGAAAGCCCACACAAAAGACCACCAAGAGATGTGGGGTGGGGAGGAGGAGCGTGAGTCTGGCGGGCTGAGCAGGATCGGGGCGCACGCTGATGGGGGTGCAGGGACCCCTGAGGAGGCTCTGAGGGAGGGGTGGAAGCACATCTGCGGCTCTGCTGAGGGTGGGCGGGCTGCGCGACCACGCCCCACCCCCAGGGGAGTGGCCTCTGCAGGCCCCGGGGGTCGCTAGGGAAACGGACAGCTGCACGGGGGTATATGGGGGGTGGGTGTCGGTGCTGACGAGGACTTCGCGTCCGCAGAGAAAGTTCTGGGGGAGGGGGTGGGACTAGACGAGGATGGAGGGCACCCCTTCATCCCTCAGAGCCCCCCGGAGGCCCACGCGCCTCCCGAGGCGGGTGGCTCCCCGTGATTCCGGTGCTCCAGGATGCAGTGCGCCACGTAGGCTGGGTGGCTGTGCAGGGTCCTGCATTTCTTGCAGAAAAGGACCTCGCAGCGCTCGCAGACCCCAGCGCGCGGCCGTCTCCGCCGCGTCTCCAGCACGCACAGCTCCTCGGGAACGCTCCGCTTCCTGCGGGTGGGGATCCGGGAGCGTTTAGGGCGCCGTGCGGGCCCCTGGAGGCGGGACGCCGGGAGCGGGGCGCGCGCGCTCACCTGTCGGTGGGCGCGGCCAGGCCGCCCAGCAGCGCGAACAGGCCGAGCCAGCCCCAGAAGCCGCTGTCGGCGCGCCGCAGCAGCGCCACCTGCTGGGTGCTGGACTCCTGGCGCAGCGGGCAGTAGGACACCGAGCCGCGCTCGCGGGCCTCGCCGCTCGCCTCCCTGCCCTCCGCCTCGCCCGCGGCCGCCTGCGCCTCCCGCCGCGGGGTCTCCTCCTGCTCCTCGTCGTCGTCGTCGTCCTCTTCCTCCGACACCGCCCCCGCCTTCTCCGCCCGGGGGTCCTCCAGGTCTTTCTTCCACAAGGGGGTCTTGCCGTCTGTTGGGGGAGGGCGGGTGGGCGGGAGGGTCAGCGCAGACCCCTGCGCGTCACACGCGCCGCGCCTGGAAACCGGAGCGGTAGGACAGCGCGGAGGGTGCTTCTCTTGCACGCGGCGGTTCGATCCCCGGCATCCCACAGGGTCCCCCCCCCCCCCCCAGCTCCGCCAGGCGTGATTCCCGAGGGCAGAGCCAGTAGTGAGCATCGTCGGGTGTGGCCCTTTCCCCGCAAAGAAACCCCCCTCCCCAGGGGCTGGAGCGATAGCATAGCGGGTAGGGCGTTTGCCTTGCACGCAGCTGACCTGGGTTCGATTCCCAGCATCCCATATGCCCCCCCCCCCCAACACCACCAGGATGAATTCCTGAGTGCAGAGCCAGGAGTAACCCTTGAACATCGCCAGGTGTGACCCAAAGGAAAAACGAAACGATTCTCCCCCAAACAGGCAGGCCCCCCGAATGAGCCAGCAACATCCCGGAGAGGGTTAGAGAGCGGCCCCCTGCCCCAACCCCGGCAAGGGAGGGCCCAATCGAGCTGCTTCAGATCCCCCAGATTCCTGCCCCTCGGGGCTTGTCGGGCTGCGTTCCCGTAAGTGTGCCCGTCTCGGGGTGCCTGAGCCCCGCGGAGGGCGGCAGGATAACAAATGCCCAGTCCAGGGCTTGTCGCGCGGCAAGCAACCCAGAGGTGAGAATGCGAATGCGAATTCCTGGGGGACCACGTGACTGCTCATGGCCCCCTGCAGCCACTGGCAGCGAGTTCCGGGGCTGCGGCTGCCGTGGGCGGGCGGTCTGGAGTGCAAGCCGATGGTGGGTTGACCACGGCATGACCCCTTCACATGGAATTGGGGGTAATTCCATCTCTGGGAGAGAGATCATCACATGCCCTCTCCCCCACCTCCAGCACTACAGGTCCTGGGAGGCCCTCAGCGCCTCCGACTGAGCTATGCAGGTGTGACCCCCCAATAATAAACGAAAATAGGCTAATTGGCCCTAGGGTGAGGACTTAATTTGCAGGCTGTCCCTACACATTAACTGCACTGACTGTAATGTCCCTATTTATCGACCTGGGATTCTTTCCCTCCTGGATGGTCTTGCCCAGCACCCGCAGTGATCTGACAGGCAGACAGCCCCTCTCTAGGGTTTGAATGAGCAGAAGTAAAATGTGACCCTTTCGGGTAGACTAGTTGGGAAAAGATCCCACCAGCTGGGAAGACAAATTAGGGAAAAGATGCTTTAGAACTGGAGGGAGGCGGTTGAGTTGGTTTGGGGGCCACACCTGTCAGTGCGGTGGTGGGGGATGGTGAGAGGAAAGAAGGGAGGCTATGCTGTATTCTGTGCTCTGGGGCAGAACTCAGGGGTTCGTAGGGGAACTGTGCAATGTCGGGGACCGAGCTTGGGATTCCTTCATGCAAAGCTTATGCTCCAGCCCCGGTGAGCTAGTTAGGAAAGGGTGTCTGGGGCTAGAAGCGATAGCACAGCTGGTAGGACATTTGCCTTGCATGCGGCCGACCTTGGTTCGATTCCCAGCATCCCATATGGTCTCCCGAGCACCGCCAGGAGTAATTCCTGAGTGCAGAGCCAGGAGGAACCCCCGAGCATCGCCGGGTATGGCCCAAAAAGAAAGAAAAAAAGAGAAAAGGGTGTCTGCCTCTTTCTTCTTCTTTCAGCTACTTGATTCCTGCCTTGATAGATTCCTATCACCACTGCCCACTCTGGCAGGTGCTCTTGCTCACAGTCCAGATAGATCCACAGCTCCAAGCAGTAGCCCCAGCAGGTGGGCGGTTCCAACTGGGCAGTTTCAACTGGGCAGAGCTCACCACATCTCAGCAACCACCCAGCACCACACAGGTCCTGCCATCTGCTGGATTAGGGGCAGGGGTGGGGCCAGGCTTGAATCAAAGGGCTAGGAGGACAAGGAGTAGTCCCTGCCCATCCTGATTCAAGATATCAGAGCCTGGGCATGGAGGATTAATGCAGAGGCTTAGAGCAGTTGCATAATTGCAAACATATGGTCATGAGTTCAAATCCTCAGTGTCCCACATGTGCTTAGCACCATGCAGGCAGCTCTGCTGTCTGACCTCCAGAACTACAAGCAGTTTTTTGGCTATACCACAGCCAGGAGTGTGTACACGACATGAAAAAGGTGTTCTGGTGTGCAAAAAAGGGGTGCAGTCCTCAGAAAGCACTGCAACTGAAATGATGCGCAAGCACCAGGGCTTAAGATGTGTGACCCGGGGGCTGGAGTGATAGCACAGCAGGTAGGGCATTTGCCTTGCACGTGGCTGACCCGGGTTCGATTGCCAGCATCCCATATTGTTCCCCGAGCACCTCCAGGAGTAATTCCTGAGTGCATGAGCCAGGAGTAAACCCTGTGCATTGCTGGGTGTGACCCAAAAAGAAAAAAAAAAGTGTGACCCCCCCCCAGAGTGTTGTGTAAGCCACAGTGACCCCTGGAGGTTGTGAGGCACACAACCTCAACTAAGAGCTCCCCCGACTAGTGTGTGTGTGTGTGTGTGTGTGTGTGTGAGAGAGAGAGAGAGAGAGAGTGAGAGAGAGAGAGAGAGAAGCCCAGCTCAAGGAGTGCGGACCTCGGGGGAATGTGCGAGCCCTGTCACTGTCCAGCGCCCACCAGCACAAAAGGCAGGGGCACAGGAGGGTCAGAGCACGATTTGTCTTCGAGTGCACATATACTGAGCAACCAGCTGCAGGCCATTACCACTCTTCCCCTCAGTCTTCACAGCCTTCTCAGCCCAGCGTGGACGTAGGGATTCCAGGCCCTCTGTACTTCACTCATGACTAACTGGTTTCTGGTCCAAACCTGGCAATGCTCAGGGGTTACTCTGGGCTCTGCGCTCAGGAATCACTCCTGGTAG